ACTTTATCCCCATTTAAAGATATGAAAACTGAGGTTCTGAAAATAAGCAACTAGCCTCATTCCATAAAAAATATTGCATAAGACTTATTGAGCACTTAACATAAATAGGCATTATACTTTGAGCATTATATATGTGCTTCTCATATAAACTTTTAACTAGTGAGTGGAAGAACATGATTCACCCTGACTCTGTTTGACACCAAACCTTGTGTTCTTCCCTGACTCTTATCTAGTCCAACTACCTCTCTCATTTAATGGTTAAGGAATGGCATTAAGAGGGTAAATAATTTATCCAAAACAACAGAATTACTTAATAGTACAAGAACCAAACATAATTGTTTCCTGACTTCTATACTAATACTTTCCACTTTGCATGCCATGATACATCTATGTCTGCAAACGAAAGCACTATGTCAGATGGCTCTGCTAGGCAGTTGTGTCTGGTTTACTTCAGCAGGGAAGACAGAGGCCCGTAGGCAAATACAGAAGCAACTCCTCAGATTTCTCTCTCAGTGTTATTACTTAAACTCTTTTTCATTAAACTCAAAGATTCACTGAGTCAATGAGCACTGTTTTCATCATTTCCACATTCACACATTAATGACTAATAACAGGCTGTTACAAATTACTAAAAGAGAACACTTCGTGAAAGTTCTAACCTAAGCAATTTTTTAAATCCCTTATTTGAATAGACTTTAAGCTTTCTCCCAAATCACTTTCTCTTTTGGGAGTGTGAGGAGTAGGAAAGTAGGGGAGTCAATGTTTCCTGGGCAAGCTACCGGCTTTTTCAATTTTCACTGAAGTTTTCTCTCTAACTTGAAAAACATTTTTAAAAAAATAAAATTCTTTTAGCACTTTCCCAGAGTTACCACTGTCATGGCATTACATGAATACTAAAAAGCTGACTTTTACTCTGGAAAATGTGCAATTCAAATTCACATCAGATCATGATTATAAACTATCATGTTTCATGGATCATTAAGGTAGTCTTCATTCACATAGTTGAGACAGTGAATGGAATGTAAACAGATGCAAATTTTAACAAAAGTAAGTTTATAATAGCCTCTGACATAATCTAGTCAAATTAAGAAAACTTCCTATTAAGAGCTTACTCATTTTAAGTGCTAAAATCTGAAAGCTCAACCAATTTAGGCAAAAATATTTTATAAACTATATTTCATTTATCTATTCAGTAAACTGCATATCATGAATATCATTTAACTTTTTCTAATTTAGTATCATCAAGAACATCAAGTTGATAAAAAGTGATGCCTTTAATATAGTGATAATATTTAAAGGAAAGATAACTTATTATATTAAAAGACCCCAAAGTATTATTATTTCTTTAATCTAGTCTTGCTGATATCACTGTATCTTTCAGTCAGCCAACATAGTACTCTAATATAAAAAATAAGGACAAGGCTAAAGGTTAGCAAACGTGCCATATCTTCTAAAGAGTAAACTGACTTTACATAATGCTCTCTCTCTTACCAAGTGAAGTAGGCTAGATTTTATTTATGTTTATTTTCTTCTGGGTTAGAAGCTGTATTTTACAGATATTAAAGGCTGTCAACAATCTGTCAGATAAGTAGGATAGCTATTTAAAAGGAACAGCTTACAGGGCCCAGCAGGTAATGTGAATTAATGAAAAGAAGACAACCAGACGTGAAGACTAGGCACTATCTGAAGGCGACAGTAGCTACTCAACTGTAAATTGTTTTTCTCAAGCAGAAACACACTCCTGGCACTGCCTAATCTTCTATTTTTCAAGAGATGAGTTATCCACATTTTTGTGTAAAATCTCACAGCTTTGTTAACAACTAGAGAAATAGGGCAGTGGCTAAAGGATATAATAAGTCTGTTGGCTGCCAGTTTGTGGCAACTGAAAGAGAACTACACTGTTAAGATTCTCATTTGTACTGAAATAGAAAACTCTAGGCCCTGAATTCAAGTCATCTCTTTACTGAAATATTGTTGTCACTGTGTATTTGGAGACATCAGTCAGACTAGAAGTGAAACATTTCTTCTACTCCTCTGTGTAATGCAGACTAGAAGTGAAACATTTCTTCTACTCCTCTGTGTAATGCAGACTAGAAGTGAAACATTTCTTCTACTCCTCTGTGTAATGCAAACATTCTATATGGGCTAAGTTATTTAAAAGAGTAGAGCCCAGTAGTAAATATATATCACTAAGTTGATATACTTATTTTAGTTGGCACTTCTTGCTTCTGAGCATGTTATACAAGAAATTTCCATTTTTAAACATACCACATCCCCTGATCCAATCACATTTGATAAAGTATATGACATCTGAGAAGCAAATAAACTGAAAAGTATTCAATATTACTGGAAAATTAGCATGCCAGATTATTTGTGGAATATTTCATGGTACTATTCAGAAACATTATATAAATTGATCCTCAGCATATCCTTGCCAAGTAGACAGGAATTTCCCCCCATTTTATAGATAAGAAAACAAGAGTCAGAAAATAGAATATGTTGGCCAATATAAGAAAAAGGTAGCAAAAATAGAATTTACAGTTAGGTTTGAACTCCTGGTCAATGTTCTTTCCACTATCTCAACATTTCCCTTAAAGGCTTATGTTAATGAAATGGCTTATGAAAAAGGGTAAACAAATCGAAAGGAAAAGAAGTGATAATAATAACATAAAATCTCAATTATCCAGCTCCCAGATTTATTATGCCCTCAGTTATTCAACATAACAAATAACCTGGAATTCAGCACAGAAAATTTGAAACTGTCACCAATCCCAAAAGTAATAATCCCAGTGGGGTCTAGTTTATGCTCATAGTTGTAAAAACACAACATGGCACTGAAAGAATTAACAACAATATCCTGAGTAACCACAGAATGTTGGTGTTTCCCACATGTTACAAGTAATAATCAGTGGAGTCATCTTGTGGAGAGTGGAGGTAAATTTTATAGAACACAATAGAAGGCAAAAAGAGTGGATCATTAAAATTTCCCTGAGGTCCTACCCTGAAGATCAACAGAAACTGATCAATAATTTCAACCTAGCCAGTTTTTCTCCAGCAGTAAAGACTACCAAACCAAGGACATGGCTTGTATTTTTGAAATTTTTGAAATACAGTGAGTTATTCATACTATGAGAACCATGACAGCACATTCACTTTCCTATGTCATACTCACTCCAGGGCACCACCTTACCAAAAGGCATGGTGGCTAGAATCTCTCACACATATTGAATTTCTTCTTCTTGTTCTCTTTTAGGAGACTTACTTAAGTAATGTTCGGATTACGAGAATCTACCATGTTATATAAGAATCCCAAAAACTTCACAAAGTAATTAGTTAATGAAAGTAAAATAAACGTGCTAAAATGTTGGTGAAACTGAGTGAGTGATCCCAAACATTTTAGGCCACTGAATACTACGTTAGAAAAAAATTGTTTTAAAAGAAAACTAAGAATAGGTATAAACATAATTGTGGTAAGGCAGCAATTTTAAACTGTTAAATAGTGTAAATAAAGATATAACGCTCTACCTTCATGAAAATAAAAAAGAACATAAATAATATATGTTCTAGAATACTCTCAAAACTGAATTCCAGTCTCTTAGCACCTGGAGCTTTACAAATAAGTGACCTAGACCCTGACACTAACATAGGATCATAATTATCATATGTGATCAGGTTTCAAACTTTTATTTTCATCATAACAGCCTGATGTTCTTTTTATTAATAAACTTATAATAAGTGTTATAAATTTACATTATAAAATAAGTACACAAAAATAAAATAACATGTATCCCTTTTATATACTAGGAGCCTTCAAAAGAATTTAATGTGCAAAAAGTTGCCATTTTTTAAAAGTTTCTGTATGTAGAAAGTTCGAAACTTACTGTTCTATGTCATATTAGTCAGGGATATATTCATACTATATTGACAAAGCTAAGGAAATGTATTATATCATATAGAAACAATTTTTTAAAGTACTGCGATTTAAATATTAGTGCTAATAGCATAGCTGTTCTGCTATCTGAAATATTACATGAATAAGAACTTCATTCTCCTACCTTTCTGGATTACTGTGGACACACAATATCTCAATAAATGTTTCTACTTCAGAACAGTATTAAGAAAGCTTATTGAAAATTTTGAAACTAAACTTACAAAACCATTGAGTTATACTACTTTTAAATATACCACAACTTTAAACTAAGACTAAAGTAAACATCAACAATTAATCAGTTAATTAACTGAAACAATTGAATATTTACTTCAGTTTTGTTGCATTACAATACATTAGCTATAAAGAAAAGGGATAACCAGACCTAGATGATGTGAACTTATTTCTAAGTTCAAAATCTACATATGAATACCAATTTAAGTAAAAAGTAATTAGGATACAAAGTTGGCACCATTAAAAATGTGAAAGAATTGGATGGCCCAGAGGAGGCAGAATAAAGAGCTTGAAATCCATAGTGCAAATTAAATCTAACAGTGAAGAAAAAAAAAAAAAAAAAAAAAAATTCTGTCTGTAACTATGATTTCTATCCAGAGAATTAACATTCTTCCCAGAAATCTACCAAACAATACCTCCAAAACACACACACACACCAAGAAAAATCGCACTCTTCGTGCAAAACAAGGTTTAATTATGGCTTTTAAAAAATCTATTCAGATTAATATATTGTTTTTTATTTCTACAAATAAACATCAAGCAAACTAAAATATCCAACACAAAAGGAATATTAAGTTAATTAAAGCCAGAAAAACACTACTGGGTGATCAAATGTTCTGGCAATGACAGAACATAAAATGGTGAGAAATTACAGGAATTTAACCTTTGACCTCACCATCCTATGCACTGTTTCCATAATAGAGGCTTAAAGGTTCTATCAGCAAACATTTCAGCTTCCTACCAAGCAAGCTCTAAGTTCGCCTTCCTGTATAAACTCAGTAAAATTCAAATGTTTTTTAATTAAAATCTTCAAAAATAAAGAGTAATTGTTTCTTACCTCTGGTTCTGATGCATGTGACAATTCTCCACACTGGCATAGTTGCTGCCTAAGCAGCTACAAAGGCTAGGTTAGCAGCCATTTTGAGACAGCTGCACTGTCTCAGTTGCACTAAAGTGTAATTAAGATGGCTGCAATGTGCACTCAAGAACTCACACAGTGAAAACTCAGTTATGTATCAAACAAAGCCCCTCCCACTTTGTCAGCCTGCAGGAAACTGAACACAGACAGCTAATGCATATACTGCAACAAACAATGCAGCTACTCAGGACACAGAAAACAGAGAAGGCAGCAAGCCAGTTTTGTAACATAATGCCTGTGAATCCGGACTTGCAATACAGACTTTGGGCACATCCAGATCCCAGACAGCTGGAAGTCCATGCCACATATTAGCAGTTACAGAGATGGAGCCAAATCACACACAGCAAACATCAGGGAATTCGCTTGAAAGAAAGCCTCCATTTCAGTCCAGAAAAAAAAAAGTCAAACCATGCTCAAGGGCCTTTTTTTTTCCATCTTTTATAGTACTTTTATCACAAAAAGAATGACAATTTTTATAATTTCTGGAAAATTATGTTAATTTAAATCATGATAATCCTTTTCCATTTTTAGAAGACTAATTAAAGATTTTTCCCAGAATCTAAGCCCCAAAGTGCTCAAATCTAGCAGAATGGTTAACGCCTGCAATCAAATATTTGAATCTTGACAATAATTTTAAATAACTGCTGGGGAGGGACTAGACTCATTAGAGTTATGATGACAACAATGTCTATTTTGATTAATCTGCCATAAAGATAAAAACAACTTTTCTTCTGTAATCTAGATGGTCAAAAAGACATCTCCAGGTAAGTATTTGGTCCCAGGGCAAATTAAATTTCATGCCCTGCTACAGACCTCCCAACATTTTAATGTGTAAGTGAAAAGCAAATAAAAATAAAGAATGCAGACACCTTTGAGTAAAAAAACAAAGACGGGAAACAAAAGGGTAAAATTCAGCCTGAAAGTGGGTCTATTAACAAGATAAATTTGAGACTGATCCCAACAAATGTGTCTTGGCAGTAACCTACCCATCAAGAAAAGTGAAGGACAAAAGCAGAGAAAGAACCCGTTTTCTTGAGAGCTCACATCAGCTAGGAAATCCACCTTTTCCTTCTCTCTTCCTTTGTTTACCTTCCTAAAATTTAGCTGCCGTGTGCTATCTTGTCTGTTCACCACCTGATATAGGTATTTATTAAAATTTGTTTAAGAGGGGGGCTAAAAGGAGATTGGCCGCATAAATTGATGATTGTTCAAGCTGAGTGATGGGCACATGAAGTTCATTATTTCATTCTATTTCTTTATACATTCAACATTTTCCAATAATAAAAATTAAAAAAAAAAAACCTCAGCTTTTAAAAGGTCATCATTTATTCTCCAGAAGGCAAACTGGATAATGTACGTAAAAATTGCTTTAAGTACTTTATCAGAAAAAAATTATACTTGATCCAAGCCGTACTCATTCTTCAAAAATTATAACCAATTCTCTGAAGTGGCTTAAATCTATTCGATAAAAGCAAGAGGTTGGTAAACTGGGAAAGATTCGAACAGAATAGACATTACTGTAGCACTGGAATGTGACCAGGGAAAGGGGGAAAAAATAGCCAGAACATTTAGAGCTGCCTGATGAACAGCTTATGATCTTCAGGAAGCAGATTCTTTTGGAAATCTGTTCCACAAAGATTTAAGTTATATACCACACTCTCAAATATGATCCAACCTAAATTACCTTTTTGATATTGTTGTAATTAACCTGGTTATTAATAATAGGAAAGGAGCATCAGGAAGGCCAGACGTTATAGGTATGTCATTTGGGCAGCTTCGCCAGGAAGCTGCAACTTTACACTCCCCAGGGGGCCAACAAAGAGGAGATAGACACATGCCCAGTAAAGCTGGGGTGACATAGGGAAGGGGCTTACTGTCAGTAATACCTAAGAACAAAGGTCATTGGCCGGAATGGGCGTGGCGACTGTAAAGGCTGGAAATCTGAAATATGTAATCCCCTGAACAAAGGAATTTACTCTCTTGTTGCTCTTGGTTCCTCTTGTGCTCTTGCTACACTTGGGACTTGGGACTCTAGGCTTGTGGGGCGCTCCTGCATTCGTCCACATGACCCACAGCCATGCATACCCCATATGCAATGGACTAATGGACTACAACTAGCCTGATACTATACTAGACCCAGCTCCAACTTGGAAAGGAAACTCTGGAGACTGGCTCTGATTTTAGCTTTACTAAAGGGATGGAATTCCACAAAAATAAAGCTTTCTACCATATCTCATCCTCCCGTGGGGCCTCTGGAAAATGCTTATTCCAGTGGTACCCCAAGAACCCCACTTCCACCAATACCATTATCATTGACAATCCTTTCCTTACTCTCATTTCTCCTCATTATGCCTATCCCCCAAACCAGGTGTAATTGCTCTCTAGGTCTTTTATACATACTATCATTATACTCACCATACTGAATTACTTTTATCTTTATATATGAGTTTCTAAAGGACAGAAATCACATCTTAATTCATTTCCCATTCACTTCATTAGTGTGGAACACAGTATTGATTTGTTCAATAGATGGTAAGCTGAAACATTCCCAGTGTTTTCATTTCTACCACAAAAATCTCAGCAAATTCTACATCTTGAAGAACCTTCTTTTTTAAGATCTCAACTCTTCTAGGAAGAGGAAGAGTCAACCGATAAGTTGACTAACTTTTTAGTGTTAGCCTAAAAACTTCTGTACCTCAAAACCCAAGATGGAAAAAAATACTTTTTGTAGAACATTTTTCAGTTTTCAGTATTTCTATAGTCATTACATAGGAGCTACTACGTGCTTAGAAGAGTTGAGCTCTAAAAAAGTCTACAGAAAATTATAGTATACTAATCTTTAAATTTTTAATACTACTAAGAAAGAATATAGCTTGCCTATATAATGTCATAGATTACAAGAAGTTTGTTTTAGATAGGGTGAGTCATAATAAACACATTCATTGTTTATTTGTAAAAGTAAACCTATTTGGAAGCTATTTCTAATGTTAAACAGTTCCATGATTGCCCAAGGTTTTAAGCTCTTCCTAAATAAAAGCTAGCACTTTTCACATTGTTTTATTTGGCTCTTAAAATGACCAGGTTTAAAGTAACAGTCCTATAATCTCTAATTTTTATGACCAGAGAATGTAATCATTGCCAGGGGTCATACAAGTAGCAATGAAAAAGAACTAGAAGATTACTATAGTTTTTATATATCATGTATCACACTATTAGAAAATTTTCCATTTGTTGAAAATCCCAAAGGCCCTAAATAAAAGGTTTCACTGTATTAGGTAGGAAGTTAACACACTTTTCATTTACTTAGTTAATATATTTTAGTTACACAAGTTATTATCAATATTATACATATTTTAAAAGGAACATTAGAAGGGTATTAAGATGGTAAACTGGAAAACACCTAATCTCACTCCCTCAAATCCCATTAAAACTACAGTAAAGGTATTTATTTGAAGCATAAATCCTCAAGAACAAAGAGAAAAGTAAAAGAAACAATTGCTAGAAAGGCTTTGGGAGATGGGAAATAAGCAGAACCACTGGTAACTAACCTAGCAGTTCCTAAAACACCATATTCCAAGATGCACTGGAGACAAGTTAAAACAAACCAATCTGATTAACATGGCAGCAACTTCAAAAAACATAGGAACTAGATGAACTAGGTACCTTTGGAAATTGGAGTGAAGGGAGAAAATAGGATGGTGTGATTAAAAAAGAAAATACTACAGAAAGCTGTTTGTGTAGCAGTCAGATACCCTAAATGTCCTCACCACATTCCACTGAATACCTGTTCTCCCCAATCCCAGCAAAAGTCTGAAAACAACATCTAGAGTTAAAAATGAAAGCAACATACCAAGAAGAGAGGATTGGGCGCTAAATGCAGAGACCCCCTAGTCCTCTTGCTCCGTTAATCTCCAAGAATGCTGGCAATCAGACCTTGAGTCTCTATGTATGAACATAGAAGACTATTCTCTGGCAGCATCTAACAAGCTCAAGATACAAGACCTTAAGATCTTGGGAGCTCTTCAAAAACAGCCCACCCAGATCAGCCTATAGTGGAGTTCAAAACTACAAATTTAAATATTCTGTTTAAATATTCTAATCATTTTCTAATCTTCCACAACATATTATGTAGTCAGACAAAGAGAAACAGGACTAAGTCAAACATGGAAGACAAAGACAAAATAAAATAACACAAAGCCATCAACTATGCAGGAAAATGTCTAAAAAAATTAATATCCACAAATAAGAAAAATATTGCATTAATGTTTCAAGAATAGAATACTATAGGCAAGAGATGAAAAACATAAATTAAGAACATGATAGCACTGGCTGGTGTGGCACAGTGGTCAGAGCATCAGTCAACACACTGAAAGGTCAAGGGTTCAATTCCCAGTCAAAGGCACATACCTCCTAGGTTGGGGTTAATGCGGGAGGCAACCAATCAACGTGTCTCTCCCATCGATGTTTCTCTCTCTCTCTCTCTCTCTCTCTCTCCTCCCCCTTCCTCCCTCCCTTCCACTCTCTCTAAATATAATGGAAAAAATATATATCCTCGGATGAGGACTAACAACAACAAAAAAGAACATGATAGAAAAAAATTAAAAACTCAATAGAAGAACTGAATGAATGATAAAGCTGAACAAATCTAACTGAGCAAAAAGAAAGTTATAAACGAAAGGAAAAAAATATAAGAAAACTGGAGTACCCAACCAAAAATTCACATTGGAATGACAGAATGGCAGAAAAAAGATATCACCAATGAAATCATTTAAGGAAAATTTTCAGGCAAGAGTTACCAAACTGAAAGGACCTGATGAATGCCAGCCAATGATAAACTTTCAGAATACTGGAGACTAATAACAGATTCTACAAGCTTCTATTGAGGGGGAAATAAGAAGTAAGAATGGCTTCGTATTTCTCAGTGCTAATAGAAGCAAGAATATAATGAAACAGTGCCTTCAAAATGCTAAAGAAAAATGATTTCTAACCTAGAGTTCTATACCTAGCCAAACTATCAATCAAGCATAAAGACAGAGGATAATTTTCAGATACAGTATCAAAAAACATACCTCCCATATACTGTTTCTCAAAAAGTTACTAGCCAATATGGTCCCCTTCCCCTAACAACAGATGTCAATAAGACATGGCATAAAAAACAAGTGTTCTGCACAGAAGAGGAGTGAAGGAAATCCCCACAATGGTGAGTAAAATTCTAAGGATGACAGTGATATACCAGATGTAGAGAACAACTAGCCTAGACTGGAGCAATGAAACTCAAGAAACAAAAATGAAGTCAAGATCCCTGCTGCCACTATACCTAAGGGGCCCTCCCTCACAAACTAAAGGATTCATAGATAGTTATTCCTAGATATTAGATACAAAGTAACACAAAACATTTTTTTATACTATTCTGAGCAATGAAAAATTAAAGACATGAATAAGTAAATTATTTCTGATGGTAAAGTTAATAGGTCCTCTTCATTTCCCAGACTCTCATGTTTATGTAGGTCCAATTATAAAGACAGCCAGGGAGGCACTATGAACTATACCTACTGGCCTAGGCCTGCCACACTTTCTGGAAGATGGGCAAGGAGATGCTTGAGTCATTATCTTAAAAACTCAAAAATCCAAATGACTATAATTCAAAACTGAAAACATTCACATTGTACAAATAAGCATTAGTGCCCCTCTTCTCATTTTGCAGGACTTAAAAAACTGAAAATGCTGCCCGGCACTCGGTATTCTCTGTATCCATTACAAAATGGTTTCCACCCTGCAACTTGGAGCATATATAAACAAAGTTTAATTTTGTGGAACTCATTTTTCCATGTTGAAGAAACTAAAATGACAGGAGACACCACTGAATTTCCCACGTAGATTACAAGGCAATTTGAGAACGAACACTGTGAAATTATTATTTTTTTTAATTTTAAGGCACTAGCCAATTTGGCTCAGTGGTTAGAGGTCAGCCCGCGGACTCAAGGGTCCTGGGT